CCTATCCGAGGCTCAGGGCTGCTGTGACTGCAGCTGAGCCTCTGCCCCAAGTGCCTGTCTCTCGTGATGCCCCTTTCCAGCAGGCACCAGGCCTGCTCTCCTGCACAGTGCAGCCCCTTGCCACCATGGGAGGCTCTGCAGGGGACACGGAAGACGTGGCTGTCCTGAGAGCCGTGGATGGATCCTTAGACCAGGACCGTGCTCATGCTTGTGTTTTCATTTCTAAACGTTGAGGCTCAAAGCTGATATTCAGTACAATTTGAAAATAAGCAAAGATGTCATTTCCTTAGCTGGCCCATGCCTGCTCTGCACCAAGTGACAACGGGGGGCAGGGACGTTCCGACTGGATGTGCGAGAGGGCTGGGGTCCGGCTGGCCTCTCAGGCATCTTCCCCTGGGAACCATGCCAGCTTCTGTGCTTCCTTTCCTTTGGGAAGTCGCGCTCCTTTTTGAGAGTTCTAGGGAAGGCAGTTCCTTCTGCTGGAGCCGCTTGGGAATGTTGCGAATGTCACAGAACCGTGTCAAGAACACGGGGCCCTGTGAAGGTACACAACCTGTAGTTTCTTACTCTCATTACCTAAAAACACACATCATTTGCTCATTTCTTTTGAAGACCAGACCTAACATTGAAGATCTTCCATCAGATTGGCCCCTATGCCTTCATCAGCCTCACTGCGTAGTGTACCTGTTTAGACTTTTTACACTAACCAAGTAACTGATGAGTCCACATGAATTACGTGTTCCAGCCTCCTGCCTTTGCACACACCCCTCTTTGCTGATCTTGTTCCTCAGGATCTGAAAACTTTCCTCCAAGTAGCCGTCCATGATTGACCTGTGGGGCTTCTAAACACTCCTTCCATTCTGTGTTATTTGTGTTATATTAATTTGTGTTCTTCTTGGTTTATACATATTTTCTCCAGGGTTTTGTAGGTGGCACTGTCTCCCCTCTGAGGCTGTGAACATCTGGGAGGGGTCACTGTCTTCCCACATGCTCCTTGCACCTTACCAACCCCTTCACAGGGCCTAGTGCCCTGCTCAGAATGAGCTTGTGGAATTTGGCAGCTGACTGACTTAGAAAGTTAGGGCAGGTTTTGTTTCTGTTTCAGACAAAAAATAGCCTTGAGGTCACCCCCACCCGTTTGGTGACTGTGACTGTGTCTGTGTCTTGATTCCTGTTGCTGCTCTCCCTCTCCTCCTGCATCTGCCCCAGCAACTTCACTACCCCTCCTCTTCCATGCACTCAGATTAGTGAGCATTTCTGCTGCCATGCCTCAGTGGAAAGAACATGCAGTATTATCCTGACAAAATGAAAACAAACCAGCTGTATGGTATTGGGTCAAGATTGACTATTAATACTATACCAGTAGAAATGATCACTAGAAATGATATCCCCAGATTCTCTACATCAGCAGTCCCCAGCCTTTTGGGCACCAGGGACTGGTTTCACGGAAGACACTTTTTTCATGGATGGGGAGGGGGTGGGGATGGTTTCAGGATGATTCAAGCACATTACATTTATTGTACACTTTATTTCTGTTATTATTACATTGTAATGTATAATGAAATAATTATGCAAGTCACTGTAATGTAGAATCAGTGGGAGCCCTGAGCTTGTTTTCCTGCAACTAGACAGTTTCATCTGGGAATGATGGGAGAAAGTGACAGATCATCAGGCATTAGATTTTCATAAGGAGCCACAACCTAGATCCCTTACATGCACAGTTTACAATACGGTTCATGCGCCTATAAGAATCTGATGCTGCTGCTGATCTGACAGGAGGCAAAGCTCAGGTGGTGACACAGGCAGTGGGGAGCAGCTGTAAATACAGATGAAGCTTCGCTCACTTGCCCACTGCTCACCTCCTGCAGTGTGGCCTGGTTCCTAACAGACCATGGACTAACACTGGTCTGTGGCCTGGGGGTTGGGAGCCCCTGCTCTGGATTCTAATATATGAAAGCAAGATGTTGCAGTTTTATGGAGAAGGGAGAACTGGCTGTGTGGCAAAACATTGTTTGGTCCTCACCTAATATCATATACAAAAATAAGTTTCCTGTGGATTAGTTAAAAAGTAAAAGCATAAATATACTGTTAAGAAATATGTATGACCATGTAACTGATCCCAAGACAATAATAGTAGTAGTAATGGCAGCTGTATCACGTATCAAATGGTGTGTGACAAACTATTCCAGAGTGTGGTGGCTTCTACCAGCAACCACTTACTCAGTGGGTGATTTGGATTGGAAATGCAGGCTGGGCTTGGGTGGGTGGCTGTCTTCTCTGGGCTCATTCATGGTCGGTCGTGCGTCGATGGCCTCACATGGTTAGGATGGCTGTCTGTAAGCTGGGGTGGGCAGGGGTGATGGGCTGCATGGTTAGGTTGGCTGCCTGTAACCTGGGATGGGCAGGGGTGATGGGCTGCATGGTTAGGATGGCTGCCTGTAACCTGGGATGGGCAGGGGTGATGGGCCACATGGTTAGGATGGCAGTTGTATCAGGTATCAAATGCCGTGTAACAAACTATTCCAGTACATAGTGGCTTCCACCAGCAACCACGTACTCAGTGGGTGATTTGGGTTGGAAATGCAGGCTGGGCTTGGCTAGGTGGCTGTCTTTGCTGGGCTCACTCATGGTCATGTGTTGATGGCCTGTAAGCTGGGATGGGCCGGGGTGATGCGCCACATGGTTAGGTTGGTTGCCTGTAAGCTGGGGTGGGCAGGAGTGATGGGCTGCATAGTTAGGATGGCTGTCTGCAAGCTGGGTGAGCAGGGCTGGTGGGCCTTGTGGTCTCATCCCCCAGCAGGCTGGGCTTCTTCACAAGGAGGGAGCAGGGTTTCAGGAGTTGCAAGAGGCAGGCTTCTGTGTGTAGGTGACTTCACGTTTGCCACAGCTCTATTGGTCAGAGCAGATCACACAGTCACTGAGCTACCCTAGGTGGAGAAGGATTTCCTCTTTCCATGGGAGGACTGTCAACGTGTTAGGCCTTTTTTGTGTGGTCTACCACAGCCACTGTTCTAAGTGCTTTACATGTATAATGCATTAGTAATCTCCTGCTGCATAGCAAATCACTCTTAAACGTAGCAGTTTACAGCAGCGAATGTGTATTACTTCCCAGTTCTGTGGGCCAGGAATCTTGGCCCAGCTTTGCAGGTTGCCTCTGGCTGAGGATCTCACAAAGTGTTGGCTGGAGCTGCGTCATCTCCAGGGACTACTGGGGAGTATCTGCCTCCAAGCTCACTCCATGGCTGTTCGCAGGCCCTGGTCCCTGCTGGCTGGACCTGCGGGGGTTACATGTGAATGCCGTTATAGGAGGTGGGGGGCATTGGGGCCATCTCTGAGGCTGGGCGCCACATAGTAACTATATGGATTAAGTGCACTCTCATTATCCTGCACTTTCAATCAAGGAAATTGAGGCAAAGAGAGGGTCACTGAGGTAGTGAGTGGGGGAGCTGAGTCTGGATCCCAGGCTGAAGGACCATGACACTCTACTTGCAATGGAAATCATAATAAGGGGAAAGAGTGATACAATTGACCACACATCCATTAGCATCCTGTGTGTGTCAAACACCATCAACAGAATTGGCAAATCAGGACATACGCTGTCCATCTGCCAATCCATCCCTATTATACTAAAAGCAGTCATAAATCAATAGGAAAACATTAACATCAAATGGAACAAGTCTGCAGTGGACTCCAGTTGGCAAGTCACTGAAGAAAAATAAAAGGCAAATAGAAAAGTACCAAACCTCACAAGTAATCAGAGAAATGCAAATTTAAAAAATTCATTTTTGTTTTTGGGTCCACCAAACTGGTGGAGTCTTATAAATATTTATTCTCAGTACAGGTGAGTGCTGGAGGATAAATACTCTCATATTTCAGTGGAGGAAATGTCAAGTGATGGAACCTTCTGGAAAACAAATGTTTGTGATCTTTGACTCAATCATCCTCTTTCTAAGGGTTTATATTAAAATTGGAGACGGCAATAAAATTTATGTGTAAAGAGACTCACTGAAGCTTTACTTATCAGAGCTAAAAATTGGATGCAGCTTGAATATCTTAACAATAGCAGGGTGGCTATACTATGCCATTCCCAGATTCTATGGCCATTAAAACCATGCTTTCAAAGAATATTCAACAGCCTGGAGAAGGTCTCTTGTTATTTTAAATGAACACAGCAAGATTCCTGCTGTACAGTAGGATTCCAATTTTGTATAATGTACATGTACAAAAAAAAAAAAGCCTGATTGCAAATACATCAAAATATTAGCAGTGGTTATTTCCTGGTGGTGATATATGTTATTTCTTTTCTTCTTTTCTGTGTGTTCTCCACTTCCTTCCTTGAGGATGTATTATTGACATAATTGGACAAGAAATCAACAGGAAGCATGCAGCCCAGCCCAGGGCGCACTGGCCAGTGGGGTTGTCTGTGCACTGTATTTACTGGGGCAAAGCCAGCGGGGTCCTCCCCAGGCCTTCTGTGCAGACCCCTGTGATGATTTCTGCTCAGCAGTAGATATTTATTGTATTTTAATATCAGGGCCAAAAGCTACAGCTCACTTTTCGGTTAAGTAAATGTGTGCTTTTCACTCCTGGGTTACTACATCTGCTTGTGAGGCCCAGTCCTCCTCCCCTCCGCCACTTCCAGGACATGGCTGTGAAATTGTCCTGTCGTGCCTTGCAGCACCGTGACCACTACACCATAGTAACAGTGCTACCGTCCTCTGAGGTTTACGTGCAGATTCTTAAGGAGTTACCACATTCTCTCCCCTTGCACTGGCGTGTTCAGTGAAGGCCGGTGACTGTGGTGTGGCATTGGCAGGCCACTAAACAGCCGGGAAATTTCTGATCTCCGTTTTTATTGTGATGGAAGGCTATGTGTGGTCAGTTGCCTCGAGGTGATTTCAGAAAGGGCAGGAAGCAGGGAGGCATTTCCTTTTATGTTTGCTCATTACTTGGCTCTGCCTCCTCCAGTGTAATTTCCTCTCGGCCTCTCTCAGCTTTTCCATTCATTTCTGCCCGCTTGTCCTGCGTCCCCTGCCGCTCAGCCGCCTGACCAGGTCTCCCGAGGCCTTCTTTCTCTTCCTTCTGCCCCTCCGCTGGGATATGGCTGCTCCTCTCCACCACCCCCCACCCTCTGCTTTTGGGTTTTGCTTTAAGTGTTACGTTGAGACACCAGTTAAATATATTTCTCCAAATATGAGAAATGCATTCCGTATTTTAAAGATGAGAGAGCTCCCAGTAGCAGAAAAGACGTGGATTTGGGCAGCATGCTTGCAGAAGCGTCTCTGGAGCCTGGAGCACAGACTCACACCTGCCCTGCGACGCTGAAGGATTCCCATCTGTTCTTCTTAAGAACGTGCACTTAGGACTCAGAGGCAGGTAGGACTGTGACTGTGGTGGGGTGTAATTGTCTCTGATAGGCAGATACTACTGCGAAAACAGAAGCAGATGAAACAGCAAAGCAGCCCATGTTCTGCTTATTCGCCACGTCACATTGGTTGAGCCACATTCCACACCACGTGGCATGAGGGCCTCCTTCCCGGTGTTTCAGTGGCTTCTGGGAGCTGACGGGGGTCAAGGGCTATGGGTTCCCTTCTCTGGTTACTGCTTGCCCCAAATCCCTGCTCTCTCAGGATTCCCAATATCCACTTCCTCTCTTGCCTGCTCCGGGATGGGGAATGGGAGATGGGGGTGGGTGAGGGGCTGTCAGTACCAGGTGTGAGTGCTGCTGAGAAAGCAGACTGCTGTGGCTGACACTCTAGGCCACTAGTCATTCGTGCCTGAGTGTCAATAAAGCGTGTGTTAAACATTTCTGGGTTTGGCTTAGGGAATTAATTGAGAGTCGTCTACATAGAAAAGTGTATAAAACACGGCTTAGAAAAAACATGCATTTTAAAGGGGTAAAAGTTAACAATATAAACAGTAGGCATTTGATAGTCTAGAACACTTCTTTCAGGAAAAAGGTTTTAAACCCTTTAGTGAAAACAGGTTTACTTAACTGAAAAGTGAACTGTAGCTTTTGGCCCTGATATTAAAGTGCAGTAAATATCTACTGCTGAGCAAGATTCTTCATAGAGGTCTGCACAGAAGGCCTGGGGAGGACCCGCTCGCTTTGCCCCCAGCGTTGCCTCCAAGCCAGGCTTGCCAGTGAACAGGACTTTCAGCGGGTGGGGCCCCTCAGGTCACTGGGATGGGCAGGACAGTGGCTGTGGTAGCAGTGGTGGCCCCTCGAGGGAGCCCTGCAAGATTCCGGTGGGGAGGCGGCTTCGCTGCCTGCAGTCTTAGTTCCTCACTGATAGTGAGGACCCTCCCATGGTGGGCAGAGGGGAGCTGCTGGGCTATTCTTGAACCATCCTTCCATGCATTTCAGTCTTGCCCCCAGTCTTCCACAGCTGCCCTGACCTCTGCCTGCCCTCTGTCTCCCTGTACGGACTTGCCTGACTTGTGACCGGCTCCTCTCAGCCCTTCACAGCCCCGACATGAGCTGTCTGTGACAGTGGTCTGGGAGTGCCTTTTCTCTTTGGGGTCTGTGTGCTGTGTCTGCAGATGCTCAGCTGAGCCACCTGCCGGCCTGGTCCTGCAGACTCCTGTGGGAGAGGCAAGAAGGGGTGGGGAAGGATGTGGAGAAGTCCAGAGTACCTAACAGGTGAGGGCAGGCCAGAGATGTGGAGGGAGGGCGCTGCCCCCCCCCATCATCAGCGAAGGGCCAGGGAGGACCTGGCCACTCTTTCCAGACCCCATGGGGATTGGGGGGGGCCACCAGAGGCTCAGTGGGAACCACTGCAGGGAGTGGGCAGTTACTCTTATTTGTTTGGAGCTGTTAACACTTCTTTTTATTTTTTAACCTTTATTTTAGGTTCAGGGGTACAAGTGCAGGTTTGTTATATAGGTAAATTCATGACTTGGGGGTTTGGTGTACAGATTATTTCCTCACCTGAGTACTAAGCATAGTACCCAACAGTTTTTTTTTTTCCCCCTGAATCTCTCTGCCCTCCCACCCTCTTCTCTCAAGTAAGCCCCGCAGTCTGCTGTTCCCCTCTTTCTGTCCATGTGTTCTCATTGTTTAGCTCCCCCTTGTAAGTGAGAACATGCAGTATTTGGTTTTCTGTTCCTGCATTAATTTGCTAAGGATAATGGCTATCTATGTTCCTGCGAAGGACATGATCTCATTCTTTTTAATGGCTGAATCGTATTCCATGATGTATATGTACCACATTTTCTTTATCCAGTCTACTATTGATGGACATTTAGATTGGTTCAATGTCTTTGCTACTGTGAATAGTGTTGCAGAGAACATACGCGTGCATGTGTCTTTATGATAGAATGATTTATATTCCTTTGGGTTTATCCTCAGTACTAGGATTACTGGGCTGAATGGTAGTTCTGTTTTTAGCTCTTTGAGGAATTGCCACACTGCTTTCCACAATGATTGAATTAATTTACACCCCCACCAGCAAAGCCAGCAATGGGGAAAGGACTCTCTATTCAATAAATGGTGCTGGGATAGCTGGCTAACCATAGGCAGAAGACTGAAACTGGCCCCTCCCCTTCACCCAATACAAAAATCAACTGAAGATGGATTAAGGACTAAAATGTAAAAACCCAAAACTATAAAAACGCTGGAAGATAACCCAGGAAATACCATTTTGGACATGGAAACTGGCAAAGATTTCATGACAACACCACCGAAAGCAAAAATTGACAAATGGTGCATAATTTGGGAGCTTCTGCACAGAAAAGAAACTATCAATAGAGAAAACAGGCAGCCTACAGGATGGGAAAAAGTATTTGCAAACTATACATCTGACAAAGGTCTAATATTCAGAATCTACAAGGAACTTAAACAAATGCACAAGCAAAAAACTAAGAAACTCATTAAAAAGTGGGCAAAGGACATGAACAGACACTTTTCCAAAGACTTACATGCGGTTAACAAGCCTATGAAAAAATGCTCAATATCACTTATCATTAGAGAAATGCAAATCAAAACCACAATGAAATGCCATATCACACCAGTCAGAATGGCTATTACTAAAAAGTCAAAACAGCAGGTACCGGTGAGTTTGCAGAGGAGAGGGACTGCTTAAACACTTCTTAATACAAATAAATATTAGAATATTCCCAATTTCACCATAATGTGAACGTGTAGTTAAAAGATAGAGAATTATAGTACTCTCCAAAATGTTCATGTAGTAAAACCATGAAGCGGACCTTTGAGGATGAGAAAAATAATTAAAGTCTTGAGTCTTAAGCTACCACGTTGTTCTGGTAACAAGTTTGGCATAACTTTTATTGTAACAAACTTGTTTTCTTCTTTACTGTTAAAGTTTTTGTCATGTTCATCTTACTCTGCTTATTCTTATGTGCTTCAGAGTGGTTCTTTAGTGTGACTAACATGTTGGTTATTTATTCTGCTGAGGTTTTTGTCCTATAAAGGACGTAAAGAGTGATCATTCACATTCTGAAAGCAGAGAAGGGTAAGTATTTGTGCCTGCACTTCACCTACCAAGCTCCTCCTTCTTCCTGTCCCTGTCTTTCTATCCAGTCAGTGATCAAGCCTTCATCTTCCGCCTGCCCGGCCCTCCCCAAGCTGACCCCGTCAGCACCATGGCCAGCACCTCAGCGCAAACACATCACTTCATGGAGGTCGTCCGTCCCTGGTTGCTTCTTTCTCTGAGCGTCTCCTAGTTTGGATGTCACACTTGCCTTCAGATGTCTCTTCATGCTGCCCTGCCTCCTTTGAGTTTGGCAGCTTCACAGAGACCCCTCTGTTTTCATTAGGTCAGTTTCCCAGATTAAGGGAAAAGCTAAGTCTGGCAATTAAGCTTTTAATGTCCACTACTCTTTCTTTCTCATTCAGCCCATTCTTCGGTGATGGCAACATTCTCTCTTAACTCTTTTGAGCCATTTCATGCAGATGCAGTAACAGTGTTTGTTTTATGGAAGGAGGTGCTCCACCCCAGGCTGGAGACCTTCAGGCCAGGGGTTGGGCAGAGACCCCTGGGTGGAGCTGCAGGAGAAGCGTGTTCTTGGAATTGGGCTCCTAGACCATCAGATCTCTGCAAGACCCAGATTTCATTTGTGTCTTTCATACTTTCAGATTAATTTTTCTTTTTTTTTTTTTTTTTTTGAGACGGAGTCTCGCTCTGTCGCCCAGGCTGGAGTGCGGTGGCCAGATCTCAGCTCACTGCAAGCTCTGCCTCCCGGGTTCACGCCATTCTCCTGCCTCAGCCTCCCGAGTAGCTGGGACCACAGGCGCCCGCCACCTCGCCCGGCTAATTTTTTGTGTTTTTAGTAGAGACGGGGTTTCGCCGTGTTAGCCAGGATGGTCTCGATCTCCTGACCTTGTGATCCGCCCATCTCGGCCTCCCAAAGTGCTGGGATTACAGGCTTGAGCCACCGCGCCCGGCCTCAGATTAATTTTTCAAAACTAATTTAAAATACTACAAGATACTCAGAAAACAGGATGGAAAGAGCTGGATTAAATTTGATTCACCTGGTTGAGCACTCTAATTTCCATCTCTACTGATGTCATGTGATATTTATCATATGGAAGAGTTTTCAAAAGCTCTTGCATGTGAACTGTATTATTATCAATTTGAAAAAATTAGCCTCTGCATTATTGGTTCGTCTCGATTTGTTCTTGGAACAAACCTTGTGGTCAGTTGATGGTTTCTCTGCCTCACAGTAAGTACCACACTTAGTTTCATAGGTCAGTGTCAACATTCAGTACTAGGACACTGTAGGAAACAGTCGCTTACATGCACGTCAGGGACAGTACAGAGAGGGCTTTTTGACCTGGGCTTGATTTTAAGCAGCAGGCAGTCAGAGCTGTCCTGGGTACCCATCCTGACGTTCTGGAAGTAGGTGAATTCCATGTTACGAAGATACTTATATGAGGACGGAATGTTTGAGAGATAGCTGCCCGGGAGGTTCTTGAAGGTCAGTGGTGTGTCTTCGTTTTGAATCCGCAGAATCCCATCATTCACGAAGTGCTGGAGCCCACTGAGGCTCCCTCCCCGAGGTGCTGTTTTAGGAGGGCTTGTGTCAGCGGAGAATGGTGACCCACCATGCTACCAGGTGACCATCTTGAGAAACAAGTATCTGAGGGCTCAGATACTTCCACTCTAGATGCCAGTTGCAAGTCCCAGGTGGTGACCTGTACCTCTGACTGATGGTCTATAAATTGGGGTTCTCACAACTTCCTTCTCCAGGAGTGGGATGGCTGGCATGGCTCAAGAACTCAGGGAAACAATTTTGCTTACATTTATCCAATTATTATAAAGAATATTACAAAGGATACAGATGAACGGCCAGATGGAGAAAATGCACAGGGTAACCTCTTATATGTGGAAAGAGGTGTGGAGCTTTCTGTGGGC